GAAAGGTCTGAACCCTGATGGGAAGAGTTCACATGTCCACTTTCACAAGGAGCAAAGCCCAGATGGAAGTCTGTGGGGCAGGCCCAGGGACACAGAGCAGACAGCTGGAGAACAGCGAAGCAGATAGTCTGTGATGGAGCCACGTTTTAGCATAGTGGGTTGGCGAAGAATCTCCATTCTGTCATCAGACTCCTCCACCCTAAACCCAAGTGTTGACCTTCTGTTTAAGGAAGACAGGTTTTACTTGTCGAAGTGTAGTCTTGGGCCTTAGTGATGTGCAAAGAGTTAGATAGATTTACAAGTCTTTCTGTGATTGGATTAAAAACCAAACCACTGCTCACCCATGGTGATGAATTTCAAAGTAGTTTCCTCTAAATGAATCCTGCTTCGGTAGTGGTCCAGGCAGTGCAGATATCAGTGTAAGATCTTTGTTCTTCTGCCATCAGTTGCTTTCAAAAATTGGAAGCTTCAGGCCGGGGATTTAGCTCAGTGGTGCCACCACCTGCCTCATGAGCAAGGTCCTGAGTTCGATCCCCGGTACCAAAAAAAATTGGAAGCTGCTCAAGTCAAGATGCTACATCTTGATCCCTACTTTTTACTTTTCTTTTTTCAGTAATGCCACCATGTATGGTTCTGTACACTCCGTATCTGAATTGCATTCAACCCCAAATTCTACCCTAATGCAGCTGCGAAATGGACAGAAAGGTTTAACCATCTTGCTTTAATTGCTTTTCTGTGGCTACATAGTGACGCTTTAAGATAGCTGAAAGCATTTCCCTGTCTTCATTGCAGTCTCTTCCAGCAGCCTTTCTAGGGAAATGGGGAAAAATCTTATGCGTAGTCAAGGACCTTTTACCTTAGCACTATTAGGAAACCTGCATTGAATGTTCTATCTCTACAGATTTATCTTTGTGGTCTGGAGGAGGCGTTTAAAATTTGAAACCCAAATAATGTTTTTGTTTAAATCCTTCCCAGTGCTTGATGCTGTGTTGGAAGAGAATGTTTCTAATGACACTTTATAGAGATTTTAAGATGCCTAATGTTTTGGTAAACTTTCCAACTCTCATTTATACAAGCCATATAGTGGAAATGTTCACTTTAGATCTTCTTCACATGTTACTTTGGCCTCATCTAAACAGAGAAAAATCATAATCATCCAGAAAAACTCTAGGAAGGGCTTATTTGCTAATGATGTAAGGAACAAAAAAGATAGAACCCTTCCTTTTTGGGCCCTAAAGTTTGGCTGTGCTGTTTAGATCAGATGACACCCTGGTGTGGTACTTCACATTGATTCCAGGGGGCTCGCCACTCCTAACTGCACATTTCTGGTGCCTGTGATCTCTGTGTCTGTCCAGCGCCTCAGGAGTGCCTGGCATGGGTGAGTCTGTGTGGGTGGTGAGAAGATGTCCGGCAGCCAGCCACTTCGCAGCATGCTCTGAAGGCAGCCTTCTTTGGGATGCTGGGTAGGCCATTGCAACTTCGGGATGTTCAGAAAATACTTTTAGTGGAAAAACAAAAGTACAGCTAGCTGCTGCCTGCCCCCCTCCTGCCCTTACCCACTGTTTCACTTTCCACTGTTTCATTACTCACAGTTAACTGTGGTCCAGAAATACTGAGTGAAAAATTCCAGAAATAATTCACAGATTTTAAATAACTTACTAGAGAAATTGTGTGCCCTGTTTATAATGTAATCACAGGCCCAGATGTATAGAAAACGCTTTTGGTTTATAGGGTTCCCTCTTTACCTGCTGTGGGCACACTGGGGTCTCGCAAAGTGTCCCCCTATGGATAAGGGGAGGCTCCTGCAGTTCTTAATGATTAAAGCTTCTCTTCAGAGTTTCCTCAGACTAGGTTCCCAGCAGGTAGAAACTGTGAGGTTCTGTGAAGACAATGTCCCCTCCAGCAAGGTTCCTTGGGCCTCTTAGCAGAGTCAGCCCTACCTGTACTCATGCAGCACTGTACTGTCCCACCTCATTCATTCAAAACATGCTTTATCACTTAGGGTAAATAACTCCTCACTTTTTACTTTGCGAATGTATCCTTGTGGGGAAGGGAAGTGTGGGCATTCTGAGTATATATTGGGTTTCTATCATGGGAAAGTCAGAAATAAGAATATTTTAATAAGGCTGGTGGATTAAAGGAAAAAACCCACAGCAGTAGAAAGATCATATTACCTACCAGTCTATTGTAGCAGCTTCCTCAGGGGAGAGTTCACAGGATCTGAACTGTCCTGTGAAGGAAGTGTGAATGCTAGGGAAACACCTCTTCTGGGAAACACCTCTTCCTCCATTGAGCACCTCACTAGCAGTTCTGCTGCCGGGCATTGTGCAGGGGCAGCCACTCTGTCTAGTAAACCAGACGAGCACAGCCACACATCCAGCAGGTCACCCACAGCCTGTCTTCACACTAGTGTAAAGCTCTCCTTGGGTTACGCAGAGGCAGGAGCGTCATTGGTCTTCAACGATGACACTTTATCCACTCAGTTGACCTTTGGAGTTGACCTGAAGTTCTTATGAAAAATTTTCTGGTGTCAGGTACATAAGATTTAAAATTTTTCTTGTGTATTGTATCCGTTTTAATCAAATTTCATAAACTACAGTGGTAACATGAGTAATTATGGGAAACTGATTTATCTACAGCTTGACCATTGCTTTTCTCTCTTTGAAAAGGCTATAAAATGATAAAAATCAGGATGAGACTGCTTTTTTTGCGGGGGTAAGAAGTCACTAATGTGTTTTCTAATGTAATCTTCACAATAGCCCATTTTTTAAAATGTTGAAATTAGTTGGGTGCACATTGTATTCCTAGCACTTGGGAAGCTGATGGAGGAAGAGGAGGATCGTGAACTTGAGGTCAGCCTGAACTACATAATGAGACCCTGTCTCCAAAAAAGAAAGAAAAGTGGAAATTGAGGCACTGAGGAGGCTGAGACATTGTCTGTGAATATATGAGCTAGAATTTGAATCCCCCTGGCCTGTGTCACAGTCTGTAGTTTTCCCATGCTTCCTTTTAATCACTTCATACACTGTGATCACTTTTTGGCTTTTTCTTTTTGATACCAGGAATTGAACTCAGAACCTTACACTTGCCAGGCAGGTGCGGTGCTGCTGAGCTAAATCCCTGGCCCCTATTATTTCTTATGAAATCTTAAATTTTTCTGTGAGGTTTTTATTAGAAATTTATGATTTAGTCATTTTGACTTGATTTCAGATTCTCACCAAAAGTGTGCTTTTAAAATTGACTAGACATATATTGTTTCCTCTTACTCTGCCTGCTTCTGTCTTATTAAAAATTCTCATTATACTCTAGAATTTGGCAAATGGCTACTTATTTTACATATTAGGCAAAGTATGAGAGATGTACTTTATTTAAGTCGTTTTGTGCCTGTGAAAGAAGGCTTGTACCTGTGTTTGCCCTGCCTGTGCGTTTTGAGGAATAGAGGGGGCCTTCTGTCAGCATAAGGCTGAACGAGATCAAATGGGCTGGTGGGCGAGCAAGACCAAGTCCACCTGGGGACATAGCCGAAGGCATTTACCTGCATCCTCTTTTCTTAATTAGTTTAGCAGGTATTTCTGGAGGATTGCTGTATGCTACAGACCGTGTTAGACCATGTTAGAGACACTAGATCTACAAGTTTCAGCCACAACTACTACTTGTGTTAGTGGACCAGAGGGATAAAGAAGAAGCAGGTTTCTAGCAAGGATTGCGGAGGAATAGCTGTAGCTGGGAAGCAAGGATTTATAAGGTCTCTACCTGCTGTTTCTGTTCATCACCTGCTCACTGGGCTCAGCCTGTAGGAGTGGGCAGGGCCATGGAAGCCACAGCGCAGTGGGGAGGCAGTGGGGCAGCTCTGCCTAGGGTGAGAAGATGTGGGGTTGAAGGCCAGCGTTTCCATGCAGAGCTACTAAATCAGCATTCCATTTCAGGGTTATTTTCTTCTCAAACTCTTCTGTTTTAGGTATTATAAATGTTTTTAGTGAACTATTGCAGTTAAAAACCTTAAATGCTAAAAGGAAAGAACCTCAGATGTCGTATGTAGGAAGGCTGTGTGGGGAGGAGGGGACAAGAGCAGGTGTCCTCCTGGCTCTGACTGAGCCTTTATTTTCCAGATGCTGGTGCGGGATGGTGAGCAGCCTTATCAAACCTTCCTGTGTGGCGGTGTCCTTGTCTCTAAAGTGGGTGCCAGTAGTTTCTGACCTGTGAGAGGACACAGCAGGAAGTCAGGGAAGATAGCAAGTGCATGGTGTGCCCTGAGTGCTGTGCCAGGACACATGTTCACCAGATGTTTGCTCTGTGGTTCTTGGTGCTATTTCTGTTATTATTAGGACGTTCTCTGTGTTAGTCACGTTTGCGTTACAGTAACGAATACCTGAGATAAATAAAAATAATAAAAAAGGGTTATTTTGTGGTTTTGATTTTGTCTTATTTTGCTTTTCTGAGAAAGGGTCTCACTGTGTACCTCAGGCTGGCCTTGAACTTGTGACTGTCTTGGCTCAGCTGTCCAAGTGCTGGGATCACAGGCATGTGCCACCACACCCAGGAGTGGAAGGGTCGCTTTGGCTCACAGTCTCAGAGACGTTAGTCCGTAGCCACTTGGCCTTTGGACTTGCACTGAGGTGAATACAGCTACTGACCTCACAACAGCCAGAAAGCCGAAGGAGAAGGGAAGAGATCAGGAGCCACTGTCCCACAGGCCTCTTTGAGGGCGTGCCACAGTGACATGCGACCTCCTGCCAGGCTCCTACCACATGTGGTGGCACCACACTAAGGACCAATCCTCTAACACACGCGCTGTGGGGAAGTTTCCGACCCAGACCATAGCATTCTCTCCAGAAGAGCTGGGGCTAGGGATGATGGCAGTGCCAGGAAGTGGTCTGAGTCTCTGCAACCTTGTCGAAATTCTTACATCAGAGCACATGATGGTAGGGCTTGCCTTTTACTGACCTGCCTCCTTTCTGTGACTTGGTACTGTGGACTAACTGAAATCGTTGTTGTCCTAGCTACATGAGAGCGGTTACGATGCTGGCAAAGCCCTGCAGCGCCTGGTGAAAAAGCCTGTTCCCAAGCTCATTGAGAAGTGCTGGACTGAAGATGAAGTGGTGAGTGCTGGGTGGGGACTCCCTTCTGAGTGCGCTGTAGGAAGGGGCTCATTCGAGAGACGGCTGGCCCTGCCTTCTCTCAGTTAGGGGAAGAGCCTCGATGCCTTGTGATTGTACAGAAAGACTTGGTTTTAGCAAGTTTAGTTTCATAAATGATGGGGAAGATTTCCTCAAGTTTCACGAAGAGGAGAAATTGATAATTACTTCTAAAAATGTTAATTTGAGTTTGTTGTTAGTGTAAGCTAGCTTAAGATGCCACACTATTTAAAGAGGCAGGCATGTTGAAACCAGTTTCTGCATAGCCTAGAGTAGCTTTGGTGACCTGTTTTCATTCTGAAACACAATGGATCTTACATAGCTGTTCTGTTGCCATGGCCCCAAAAGGACACAGGGAGGGAAAGAGGTGTCCACAGAGACAAACTCACAGCCCACAGTTTCCATCTAGCAGACAGAGCTGATGAAGCTACATCCCCATCTTGTGACTTTTAAAAGGTATTGCTGTAAGTGGCTTTCTGGTTTCTTACACTTTCCTAAATGCAGTCTTCAGTATGAATGTTAGCGCTTGATATTTGCCCTTCAGGTCAGGTGAAATGGAAATAAGGGCTGGTACTGATACGTGTTTCGATCACAAGTTCCTCATTCATGTGTTACAACACAGCGAGAAGAGTGCTAACGTCACTTGTGGGCTCTTGGTCCTGCTCATCTCTCTAGTGTGGCAGTGTTCATAGAGTGCCTGCTGTGTGCTGGGCACTGCCAGGATCTGTGTCAAGATGAGCGCGAGGTGCCTCCCCGTGCGTCTCCTCCCTTACGAAGGGCGATCATCCTGACTGAGTACAGTGTGTGGCACGTGGTCCGAAAGTGCAGGGGAAGGGGAAGCAGCGTGAGCAAGGCTGAGGGGGTGAGCGGAGGAGAAGCCTGCTTCCTGAGGTGGAGTGTGCTTGGCGCATGCGGGAGACAGGCAGCAGTGATCTGAACAGCTTCTGAGCACAGTCAGCTCTGGGTGACCATAGCCCGGGCTGGAGATAAGCAGAGCTGACTGAGTGGAGGGCTGGTGCGAGAATAGAGCCAGGAAGTGATTCATCTGGAGGCTGGGGGGCGGGGTGCTGGGGAGAAGACGCGGAGGCAGCAGAGATGGACTGAGGTGGCTCCTGAGCTCGGCTTTGGTGACAGTGCCTGTATGGTCCCTTTAACTTTACCAGTCGTAGGGTGAAGTGAGTGCAATTTTTTAAAACTAGCAAACTTTTTTGCATGTTCAGACAGTGGGCAAAGTAAAAACATTAAAGTCAGTTGTTTTGAGAAATCATTTTGGTGCCTCTGTTCTCACTGTAACCCTATTCATGTGGGAAGGAGAAGAGAGATTTGATTGGTAAGATTTAAAATTCTACAAAAAGCCTTTGTAAAGAAGACGGAAGGAGAAACGGGAGTCAGGCGGACGGAGCACGTGTAATATCACTTGCCAAGGTGATCACCTTAGTTAGGGCTGGTGAGGGTGTCCTGTCAGTTGTGGGCCCTTCGGTCCGCCTTCTGCCATCTTGTTTGTTGGTGCCCCTTCCCTTACTCCACCTTCCTGTCTGCCCTCCTCGATGTCTCCCCATCTCTCCCTTCAGGCTGCATCCTCCTTGCCAGCCCTGACTCTCCCCTCTCCCTTCCTTCTCTTCTCTCGTGATCTTTCATTCCCTCTGGGATTCTTTAAATACACGGCACAAAGTCCTCTCTTCCTACTTAAAGGAAAGCTGATTTCCTTTTCCAGCAGCACATGCTTATGTGGGGCAAGATGTTCACTGTGTCCCCATTGCCGCTGCTCAGGGACCTTTAGCAGTGGCTGGGAAGGGGCGCCTTGGGCATTAGAAAGAGCTGGACGTTCACTGTGAAATACAAAACAGCACTCCAAAGTGGTAAGCATTCCGAGTATGGAATAATGACCTTAACTGCATAAATCTGTTTTGGTTTGGCCTCATTTTTATGATGTTTGCTTCTTGTTTTGAGAAGTATTTTGGCAGTCTTCCAACCCTTGCAGAGCCTTGGGATCAAATGGTTCTCTTATTTTGTAGGAAGTTAAGCTTTGCTTTCTAAAACCTCACCAGTGACTGAGAGGGAGCGATTGAATAATTGATAGGTTGAAGGACGCTTCTGATGAATGTGTCCAAACCAAATCTTCAATTAGACATACATGGCAGCAAGACAGACCTAACATCAGCCTGCCTGTGCCATGGAGGGACACCTGCTGTGTTTGCTGGCCCCTTCTCTTGAGTTTACAGTGTTTTCTTACCCCAGGAATCACAGAAAAAGCAGAAGAAACGTGTTCAGCTAAAATAAGTTTGTGGCCTGCCTCCTGTTTTTTTTCTCCTCAGTTTTCTATATCCATGGAACACTTTAGTTATTTTTAAAATGTGTTGCCTCCAGTATAGTCATTTGCTCTAACAAGCTGGCAGCTCGTGTGCCTCCTCTGGTCTCTGTGAGCTTGTTTCTCTTGTGTGTGTGTGAATACTACTTTACAGCAGCCACCCTGGGACCAGGTGGAAGGGGCACAGGAGGGGGCGGCGGCAGGGCCCTCCTGTTGGGGCAGGCCACAGTTGGCATCCTCTGAGACCTAACTCTCATGGCCGGGCTCATTATCTGCTGTCCTGCAGCCCTTCTCCCTCTGCTGGTCTGCACCTCCTGTTCCCATTTTATTAGCAGCTAACACTCCATATCCTTGTACCCATGTTGTGTGGTGCTCATGAGGTGTATTTTCCTATTTATTGTTTGTTTATTTGTTTATTCACTTTTTTTGGGGTACTATGATTTCAGCCCAGGCATTTTGCATTGACCTATATCCGCAGACCCCTTTTTTGTATGTGTGTGTGTGTGTGTGTGTTTTTTTTTTTCCCCCTGGTACTGGGAATTGAACTCAGGACCTTGTACTGTGCCAGGCAGGCACAGTGCCACTGAGCTAAGTACCTCCTTCCTCGTCCCCTTAGAAAAATCTTTTTTGAAACATCAGCTTGCTAATTTTCCCAGGCTAAGCTTGAACTTACGATTCTCCTGCCTCAGCCTCCTGAGTACTGGAATTATAGGTGTGCATCTATGTTCAACGATAGTTTGATTTTTGAAAGAGGCTTGAAATTATTCATCATCTCTGTCTTTGTCATCACTGTCAGCATCATCATATTTATTAGGCCAATCATTTTTTCCTACATCTCTCAGTCACTGATTTTGGAGATCTTCCACTTCAAAATTACACAGTAGAAGGCGTTTCATCTCATACTTTTGTGGAGAGACAGGAGGAAACACCTAGGTGGCTGGCTGGTCTACTACATCGTCTTCAAGTTAAGCAAACTGGGTCAGATCAGAGCAGCATTCTGGAAGAAATGCTAAGTAAATACATGGTGCTTTGAGCTGGGGATTTAGCTCAGTGGTGCTGCTGCCTGCTGCCTGCCTCGCAAGTGCAAGGTCCTGAGTTCAATACCCAGCACACACACCCCTGCCCCCCAACTGGACAGAGCTTCGGATACCATGGTATGGCAAGGATGGAGCCAGAGACATGGCTGGAGCTGCCGTGAGAGTCACAGTGATGGCTTCCAGGGTTATGTGCGGTAGTGGAGAGTGTGTTCCTCACAGGAAGTCATCAAGATTGATGGAACCCAGGAAGAGTGGAAAAGAGAAACAGGTCAGAACTTAAAAAACAAAAACCCAAATCCTAGATTATTAGGTTTTTAATTAAATATGATGAACACATTTAAATATAACACAAAGGCCCCGGGCTGAACTGCGCCTAATCGAGGCAGATTAAGCCACCCTTCCACACTTGGGTAGCTATTAATTCTGTTTATTTATGCATGCGAGCTGAAGGTAGCATTTGCCACTGTTGTGTTGTCGCTTGTTGCACTGGGATTCCGTTGCTGCTGGATGCTGTGCTCTTAATTAGCATTCAGCTGTTGATTATGGAAATACTGGAGATGCTAATTGAATTCTTTTTAAAATTCAGGGCCTGCATTTTCCTGGTGAGTTTGACCTGACTTGGTAGGCTGTAAGATTGGGTGTTCCACTGAGCTGTGTGTTTCACCCTTTGCTTCCCACCCTATGGCCATGTTTTGGTTTGTAAAGTTAGGTTCATGGAATTAGCTTTCAGCAAACACCCAGGTGTTGCACAAGGTGAAGGTTTTATTGCTAACTGTACTTCAGTAGAGTGTCTCCATTTCATTTCCTGTACCGGTGGGTTTTTATCATGGAATATGTTATCCATTAAATGTTTATACCAATTTTGATGTAATGCAAGTGAGATACAAATAATAAGCTCTGGAAATTTCATCCAAAGATAACTATCCATGGTGGTGACAAACTTTAATTGGCTGTGTGCAAGGATTTATTTACAAGTTCATAAATTTTAAAACATCAAAATGTTCCCTCAATTTAAAGTTCAGTTTATCATAAATATAAATGAAAATCCTTCTGTCAAAATTGACATGACCTGGCAAACTAATTTTCTGACTATTTGTAATCCAGTGAACCCATGCAGCTGGCAGAGGAATTACTTACACAGAATACACACAGCTATTCGCATGGTGTCTTCCCCCAGCCGCATCTTCTGATGCCTTTGTTGTGCCCTTTTTGAAATGCTGTTTGAGAAAACGTTTTCATTGTACACTCCTTCCAGCCAGGCATCTGGATGGGCCAGAACACAGAGCTGCTTAGTCAGGCAAAAATACAATGAATTTTATTTACCGCGTGTGTGGCAGCTGAAGAAAATGGAATTCATTGCAAAATCAAAGTGAAGGTCCTACAGCAGCAGGAGGTTGTGGAGGTAAAAACAGAGGAGGGGAATAATGACAGAAGGAAAGGGAGGCTTCAGATGCCCATGGTCCTGGGGTTTGGTTTCATAATTTACATCCACATTATAGGGGAAGGCATAGTTGTGTGATAATTTGCTTTAGGAATGGGAAAATTTCTTGAGCTGTTAACCATATGTTTAAAGTCTGTGTTTATATACACACACATAATATATCTAAGTAAGTATGTATGGTCATTCAAAAACTGTTGATAATAAGGGGATCTTGTAGGTAATCTTTTTTTTTTTTTTTTTTTAGAGACAGGGTTTCACTATATAGTTCAGACTGCCCTGGAACTCACTATGTAGCCCAGGTTGGCTCACAACGATCCTCCTGCCTCAGCCTCCCAAGTGCTGGGATTACAGGTGTGCACCACCACGCCCAGCCTCTTGTAGGTAATCTTGAGGTTAATTTATTTCTTTTTCTTGTTAAAATTTTATGCATATTTTTCCTACCATTAGAATATCATTATAGAACATTGTAGGGAATTACAACATCACCACTAAGACTATTTGCTCACTGACTCTTGGGCTCATTGGGTCTTTGCTTATGTACATACATGGTTTCATACCACTGAAAGGTTACCCAACTGTGTGGATTTGGATATATGAATATTACCTTTTAACATTGAAATTCTTATTTTCTAAAGAAATTTCAGCCAGAAATTTTTTTTTTTTTGTACTG